AACGAAGCTAAATTACTATGGTATCAAAGACTCTGTCCTACAACTAATATTGTCGTACCTCAGTTTCAGAACTTAAACTATCGATATAAACCGTGTGAGATCATCTGGTTCACAAGTAAAAATGGGGGTGCCCCAGGGATCTATTCTGTGTCCCTTTCTGTTTCTAACTTACATAAATGATATGCCATATTTTGCCGTAACTTTATGCGATATAGTATTGTTTGCAGATGATACTTCTTTAATATTTAATATTGATAGATGTAAAAATAATTTTGACGATGTAAACAATGCTCTCTCATAGATTATGACCTGGTTTACTGTAAATAATCTCCAGTTAAATGCTAAAAAAACGAAATGTACAAAGTTTAGTTCAGCTTTTTAGCTTGCGGGTCGAGAGTGAGATATAGTATGGGCGCACCCGACGAAAGTGACATTTGAGTGTAGACAAAACGTTGTCGAGTTCGTTATGCTACGCGTGCTGGTTCATCTAGAGTAGGAATATTGCTGTGCACTGCTGTGTCCGCAATCCGAAAAATTCATAAGGAATAGGCTTGGAAAAAAATAATCGATTTGTGTAAAATCGATAGTTATTTCAGCGATATTGTTGATTTCCAATAAACTTATAATCGATATTTATTGTAGATTATAAAATGCTATATTTTATATGATGATTTAATATAGTTGGTAAATATCACTGCATATGCTTTGGCAAACTCGGTATAGTTCTAATTTGATCAGCGTATGGTTCTAGTATCGATACTTAGCTAGATTTTAGAATCGTATTAAAAGTATCGATAACTTAAGGTAAGTTAAATAAGTGTTGTTACGCTTAGACGCCTAAACAACTGAACCCATCTTAATGGAAATTAATATAGTAAATAGACTTAACTATAAGAAAGGACATAGGCTACATTTTATCGTGAAAAATAGGGGATGAGAGTTTGCCTGGAAATTTGTCACTATCAAAGTTTTTTTAAACAATCGATAAGTATAGTCGAGAATTTACTTTTTTGTATTCTGGTCCGGTTTTTTCAGGTACTTGATGGCGGCAATGAAAAACGTGTTAACGCTTGTGCACTGCTGTGTCCGCGATCCGGAAAATTCATGAGCCTGCGGAGTAGGCTTGGGAAAAAATAATCGATTTATGAAAAATCGATAATTATTAAAAATTATAAAATGCGATATTTTATATGGTGATTTAATTTACTTAGTAAATATCACTGCTTAGGCCTGGCAAACTCGAAATAGTTGATTAGGTCAATTTGACCATCGTATGGTTCAAGTATTGATATTTTGCTAGATTCTAGAAAACATTTTTTTTATTTGTCGTCTTTTTGGGAGCAAACACTTGTTGTAAAAACGTGTCAATTTGGGTACTTTGATTGTAAAATGTCCATATTCCGTGTCCCATACAAAGCGCAATGATAAACAGTGAAATACAGCGCGATAGTTAAAAATGAAAATTTCCGATATATTGATAATCGATAATTATTGTAAAGTATATAATTCGATATTTTGGATGATGATTTAACATAGTTGGTAAATATCACTGCATATGCCTTGAAAAACTCGATATAGTTCTAATTTGTTAATCGTTTGCTTATAGTATCGATGTTTTGCTAGTTTCTAGAATCATATTAAAAGTATCGATCCCTAAACAATATCGAATCAAAAGTATTAATAACTTAAGGTAAGACAAATAAGTTTTGGAACGCTTCCACGCCTAAACAACTGGACTCATCTTAATGAAATTTGATACATAAATAGACTTAACCTTGAGATAGGACATAGGCTACCTTTTATCACGAAAAAAAGGTGGAAATAGGGGATGAAAGATTGCATGGAAATTTGTCAATATCAAAATTTGTTTTTAGGCAATTGATAAGTATAAATAAATATTTGATAGGTAACAGAAGAAATAATAAAGAATAAAATTTGAAATGACTGTTTGTGTCATAAATAAATTTAAAAAATTGAAGTAATCTGAGGGAAAAATATTTCTGCTCAACGAAACTATACCACGCGTATAAAATTATGCCTATATATAATACAGTAAACTGATCTCGTAAAGTTCATTTAGCATATTAATTCTCCGCTTACACGACACTAATTTCGATTTGTTTACGAAATAGCGCCACCGATTGGTCTATCTCTATAATCGCTTAATTTTTTTTTTACAAAACTTCGAAAAAGAATAGCACGTTTATAAATTTAAACATCAACTACTAGACCATTATCAGTAATTGTATTCTAATGTCGCAGATATTTTTAGGTATTGTATGTGAATAATGCTATTAGAAAATTAGTAAGGGTATAAGTGTTTACATCTGATAGTAGTCATCCGATAGTAGTAAAAAAATGCTTTCGTCTTGCCTCAATTTATTTTCTACCTTTCTAGGTTTTCGCACGTAGATTAAAAAAGCAAGCAATTACCGACGTTCTAAAAATCTCATCGTACCTAGCGTAAGTGACGTGTAGCTGACGTGAAGCAATTTATTACCCCAGGAGGGTTCCAACTGCGCTAGCGTTGGGGAATCCCTATCTGGACGTCCAGTTCCAGGGTGCAATATAGTCTATATAAAACCGAAGCGAAGCACATCAGTAGAATTGGCAGGAAGCTTGAACGTCTTCCTTCGGGGACGCGTGCTTTCTGATCTCTTGCCAAATCTATTCAAGGTAATTTCTGCACGCCTTCATTTCCACCCTTGCACAAAGATAACTTTTCACTAGCCCATGATGCAAAAGAGAAAGCCGATCTCTTGGATAACTTTTTTGATCCAACTCAACTTTGGATGACCGGGGGCTGAAACAGCCTACCATTCCACGCTGCAAGAGCTCTATGCCTGATATCCGGTTTCACCAAAGCTCAGTGCGTCTAGCGCTACTCTCCCTGGATATCCACAAGTCGAGTGGGCCCGATGGTATCCCCTTTATTGTTTCAGTGCATCCGATCCCATAAAAAGGTGACCGCTCGAACCCGTCCAACTACAGGCCGATCGCTATAACCCCTTTGCTTTCAAAGATAATGGAGTCTATTATCAATGGCCAGCTCCTTCGGTACCTAGAGGATCACCAGTTGCTTTGTGACCAACAATACGGATTTCTATAACGGTCGTGCAGGTATTTCTCGGGAAAGCGTCTTTGAGAGTCGGAATCAACTTGTGTCTGTTATTGATTCTTCGTTAGAGGAAATCTCTAACTTGGGTCGACTTAATTTGGTCCATTTCAACCCTACTAAGACATTCCCATTCATTTCAGACAGACAGACAAGACATTTCAAAACATTCCCCTAACTACCTCAGCCAATATTGAGATTCTTGGTGTCGACATATCGAGGGAGGTCCAGTTCCGTGGTCACTTAGAGGGTAAGGCTAAATTACCATCTAAGAAGCTTGGTGTGCTTAATAGATCGAGGCAGTATTTTACCCCAGCACATCGCCTGCAGCTTTATAAGGCGCAGGTTCGGCCCCATATGGAGTACTGTTCTCATCTTTGGGCGGGGGCACCCCAATACCAACTTCTCCCTCTAGACCGCATTCAGCGGAGAGCGACTCGAATCGTCGATTGCCGGGACACTTCAAGTCGAATTGATCCACTGGCCCTGTGTAGAGATGTTGCATCACTGTGCATCGTCTATCGCATCTATTACGGGGAATGCTCCGAGAAATTGTTCGGAATCATACCTGCCGCTACTTTCCGCCATCGTTCCACGCGTCAAAAAATCCACGCCCATCATTTGGATGGTTGGAAGTCCTCAACTGTGTGTTTTTCTAGAAGTTTTTTGCCTCGCACAGTCAAACTCTGGAACAGTTTGTCGCCAGCGGTATTTCCGGACCGATACGACCTTCAAACTTTCAAGCGTAGAGCATATTCGTCCCTCAAAGGTCGGCAGCGCGATTGTAGCCCCTCTGGTGTTGCAGGTGTCCATGGGCAACGGTAATCACTGACCATCAGGTGATCAGTCTTTTCGTCTGCCTCTTATCCCATAAAAAAATAACTTTTAGTCAGCTGTTTTTGGGACGTACTAAGGAAAAAGTTTTTGATAGGTCATTACTTCTTAATTTCTAAAAACGAAATAAACTCTGTACTGGATTATTTAATATCGTCCATTATTGTTAGAACTTTATGCAAAATGGACTGTAACTCAAAAGGTATTGAAAAGAAAAGAAATGGGTGTATGATCTTGTCCAACTTTCGGCGAGCAAATAACAAAACTTCACCCACCTTGATTCCAAACTGTCAGACACGTAACTCCGATGGTAGCTCGGCTTGGCGGGTACACACGGTGCACAGCTTTGGTAGCTCACTGCTGGACAAGTCTATACAAGGATATGCTATGACCACGGGTCTAGACACTATAAGGGTGGTGGAACGTCCACAACCAGTTCACACACGACGCGTACACAAACGTTGTGCTCTCTTCAGCGCGCAGCAAGCTAGTGTCGTTGTAGAAATTTTTAATGGGCGAAGTAAAGTTAATCTACCCACCAATAATTGGACAATAACTGAACAATTATTTTATGAATATTGTATATTGATTTGTCAATGAGTATGTAGGATTTCTGATAGTGTATGGAAAGTTACTCCATAGTCTAATTAAGTCAAATTCCAATGAGACTTGTCTGTGTGACATAAAACAGGAATAAAAAAGTAGCCCTTGCTGAGTTTCTTGCCTGGTCTTCTCAGTACAAGATCTCTCGCCTTAGTTTTGCGAACCGTTGGCAAAGTTTTCGACTTTCACAAGTTACGTAACTGCCTAGACTGAATAGATTTTGATGTTTATATTAATATAATTCGACGTGTGGAGGCATAATAGCACATATGGACATACTGCACATAAAAAAACAAGCTGAATTCTGCGCTCCGCTTTTGTTCTTGATTCCAAACCTGAATTCGGATATATCGAGTCAATTGAAGTGACGAGCAATCAATAAGTTAGCTTATCACTAATGTTGACATATAAACCAAACATCGTTCCTTTACATGTAATATAATAAGTAATTTAAAGTTTGGATTCATATAAATTAAAAGTTAGATATTATAAGAAACACGAAACGATGTCATATTTATCAATTTTCGATACTCAATTTACTTTTATCATGTCAGAAACAAAATTGGAATGAATATAATTGACAATATCCAAACATCGCTAGTGACATCTAGTATGACTTTAAAAACTAATTTTTATTTTTAAAATTTTCGCTCATTGACATATTTTAATTATTGTGCATTATTGTTTCTTTACCTGTAAAGAAGAGCACAAAAGTGACATGGTGACATTGGCGGAATTGTGTAAACCATAGAGTATCGTAAACGCAAATAGACCATGAATTAAAAAAGAAGGAAATATAAAAATAATTGAAAATTTTAATTAACGCCTGATAAATCAGACATGATTAAGTTTCAATAAGTGCAAAAAAAAACATATTATGTATCTAAAGAGAAGGTAAGTAAGAAGTAATAAAAATTAAAGCATACATTAACTATAGATCTCTGACACTAACCATATTCACAGTTCTACAGTCAAATACTTCATAGCAGCGGTTTTTGGTGCGGCTTTGTATTGTGAATGGTTTATCTACGTGATACAGCCTCAGTATTGGCAAGAGTTGGAATGCGAGGGACACGATGCTTCCTGCACCAAAGTTTTGTTCATTGCAGACCCACAAATACAGGGTGATTTAGCAGTTCCACCTCCGCTCAGTTACCTTTTCAACTGGGATAGTGACCGGTGAGTATTCTACACTTGTGTTTTTTGTTTAAAGACATTCAATAAATAAGATGTAATATTATTATATGCCAAGATTTTAAGGGTGGATAAGTTAAATATGTATACTGAACATCTTTCACTATGGGAGCAGCACTGAATTCACGAAAAAAATATCAGCTGTTTCATACAAAAATGTCCAGCTACCATATTGTACCTCAGAATTTTTTCCTTAAATGCTTACAATGATACATAAATTAATATTTAAAATTATGCACTCAAGCTTACAAAATATTTAATACTTCCTAATGCAATTCACTAAATGATATTTTCTGTTTTACAGATATCTGAAGTCAACATTTTCAGTGGTATCAAAATACTTTCAGCCTGATGTACTTGTTTATATGGGTGATCTAATGGATGAAGGTTCAATATCAACAATACAACAGTTTCATAGCTATGTAAAGAGGCTGTCTAGTATATTTAATATTGAATATCCTGTTGTGGTGAGGTTTTTCAATAATTATGAAAATAATGGTAAAAAACAAACTTCAATCCTACAAACAATAAAAGTTATACTTATTTAAATATTTATATTTTTAGCAAATTTGGCTACCAGGTGACAATGACATTGGTGGTGAAAATGAACCTGTAAGCAAACAAAAAGCAGCTGAATTTGATAAAGTATTTGATCAGCCATCAGTGATAACATTCAAAAATCTAACATTCTTCAAAGTAAATGGCATAACATACACATTTCCTAAAAGAACTGAAGAAGTAGATGAAACCAATATCAACATTGTTGTTTCTCATTATCCAATAACCTCGAGGACCGTATTTAGCACTCAGGTGTGTGTAACTATTATCAATATAATTTTTGAGAACTATTTAATCTTACCTTTAGGGGTTAAAAAATAATGTTATGTCTTATGTACAAGCAAAGGTGTAGAAAACTAATGAGGAATTGTGGGTATATACAATTGAAGCACCTATAGGTACCCTCCTTTGGATTGCAATTAAATCGATTTCAGTATGGTACACAACATCACACTGTTTGATTAATTTATACTTATACTAGACTTTCAAGACACTGTATACTTAAGAAAGTCAGCTGAGCATTTTTACATTTTACAGTGACTATGAAAACATAATGAAGGACCAATTTCTAATAAACAAATATTACTATTTTGCAGTTGATTAAAGAATTCCACCCAAACATATTTTTTTGTGCCCATGAGCACGAGTCAAAGTATGTGAAACAGAACAAAGATCTCACTCACAGAAATACACATAACTTTGGTTATGGAGAAGGCATTCTGAACATATCCTTGAATGAAGATAATCTTTATGAAATATATGTGCCTACTTGCTCATACAGAATGGGTACAAGCAAGATAGGCTTTGGAGCTGCTATTTTCAGTAAGTTTATACTAATTTTTATTTTTTCCTTATATATGATTTAAAAAAAAAAAAACATTTGGAAATATAAGTCACTTATGGTAATAAATCAACAATAAAATTTATTGGTCCATCACTTCTGACATCATTTATTTCTCTACACATGTCTCCTTTAATATAGTATATTAATATTTTAAATATGAGTCTTTATATAAAAAGATTTTTTAAAGGTTTCCTTGCGTGCGCTGCATTAACAATGAAACTATATTATAATAGTATATTATATTACAAAATTGATCCCCTTTAAAAGTTCACACAGCATGTCTACCTTATCCCAATAAAAGCACATAAAGGGATTAAAGTGGGAGTGGAAGTTTGTTTAAGGGGTTTTATTGCTACTATAGAAACCATTGTTTACAATTCAGTTTGTCATTGTAATTATATTCCATGTCATCTTTTTGCTAATCCATTAATTGATTTAAGCAGTTCACGCAGGATTAAACAACATTAAAAGCATATAATATTGGATAAGTACATGAAAATTTTACATTTATCGACGCTACTGATCACTAGATGATGGTACTGTACTTTTGAAATGCGATTTTGATATTTGTTATGTTGGTAATATTTGTTTATTTTTTCCGATTTTTATAAAACAAAGTAGCTATCGTTTTCAATTTTGCGATTTTGCAATAACATAATTTAATAGAGAATTGGTAATCAAGCGAAAAAGTTAAATGTTACAAGTATGTTTTGATTTTTTTATGTTTGTTGCCTTTATTGTTCTTTTTCCGATTTTTATCAAACTAAACTTGCTTTCATTTTCAGTGAGTGTGTTAATCTGTCAGTCAGTCTGCAGTTTAGCTCAAAAACGATTTGTATAAGAAAGGTGTAATTTAACATGAGTATACAATTTATTCACGACAAAGTGGTAAAATAAAATCTTGTACATATAAAGTTGAGGATGAACATTATTTTTATTTTCTCATAGCGTGGGGTATCGTTGGATAGATCTTTCAAAAATATTATAGGTGTAGAGAAAACGTTTCTCGATTTCGTTATTCGTTTGTGACTTATAAAGTTTCAAAGAGTCAATTTTCGTTGGAATCAAATGACACTCCCCCCTCCCCCTCTACCAACTAAACGGTTATTATTAGAAACTCAAACGTTATGGCAGAAGTATATTTTTATATAACGAATTTAATAGAAAACTATCACACTTTAGTTGACTTTACAAATTTACAAGTACGGGGCGCTTGCCCCGGGTTTTTTAAATATTTTTAAATTGAGAATTATTAATCGGACGTCAAAATAATATATGGGTGATTATTATCACGTACTTTAATATTTACCCAAGGTGCATTATATTATGTTTTCGAAAAATGTACTAAACTTCCAATAATTATGAATTACTAAAAATCTGAAAAATATTTGAAATGAACTAGTAATGGTAGGAAACAGTTTTATCTAAAATAGAAAGTATTACAGTAAAATAATAAAATGGGCAAAAAAAAAACAAGTGAACGAAACTAGATTCGTTCGATGCATACAATTTTAAGAGATGGCAGAATACACGTTGGCTAAATTTAATTTGCAGTCACGCACTTAAATCTCTGTAAATGCTGAAAGCAAGAACAAGTTGACCATCAAGTTGTTTTGAGGACCAGCCATAGAATCTTGCACCAGCAAAGCATCAGGTTGTTTAAGCCTTTATCTGAAAGTCCAGAATAAGTACAGAAGTCAAAAATCTCAGAGCAAAATGACGGCGTAATTATTAAACGACTTCAATAAAAGGCCTATTTTTTTTAAAAGATAACATTTATTTGTATTTTTTTTTGCAAGGCGAGTAAATTCTGCTGCGTATAAAAATGGAAAGAAGAGCATATATGCTATGACTACATGTGCAGTATCCACATAAAGAGCGGTAGATTTTCCTTATTAGGTTCCATCGCTTGGGCAGGCCTATGTACCAGCAGTGAGGACGCTGAAAAGCTAATGATGTTGATATAAAAGTGGATACTCACTGACAGATTTATAATTAAGATTAGCTCAATACTCCAGTACAGGTCAGTGTGCATTGGACCACGTGGGCGAAGCAACGGTTTACAGCTAGTGTAAAACAAGTATCATGAAAAATAATGCATTTTAATATTAACTGTTTTGTCTAATAAAAACTTATTTTTTCCTTGCAGATGATAATAACCATCACATGAAGTATACAGTGTTCTGGTCACCAACAAGATTTCCTTATTTATTATTCTACTTGGCTGTTATGATATTTCTGCTGTGGTATTTTATTTTGTTTTGTGTAGCCAAATTGATACACAGGCATCCTAAAATTGTCAAGAGTAGTAGTGACAGTCAACCCTTATTAGAAAGAATATAATATTTCAAGTGATATTTTAAGCATTTATCGAAGTTTTTATATAAAGTGAATTTATATGTGTATGAATATATTAAGCTATTTTAAAACTTAATACTCACAATTTTAAGCAAATTAACCATTATAATATTAACTATTATTTTGTATGTTATTGTTATTTTATTTATGTGTGCTTATACACAAGATTACCACAATATGTTGGATATCCACAGTGGATTTTGTTTTCTGCATTTAATGTCTTAAGGTTTAAAATCAAGTGGCGAAACAGTTTTGTATAAGTTGTGATGTTGACTGTATATTTCCACCAAGTTAATAATTTTTTATGGTTATTTGTTATTTTAATAATATTTAGCTTTAATTAGAATTAATAAGACACAAAATAAATGTGTTAAATGGTAAAAATAGCCGTTCAATTGGGCGACTAGCCATTTAATTGAATGACCTTAAAAACAATTACCATGAAATTTATGATGATCGCGAAGCGTAGCGTAGAGTTTTTGAGTTTTACATAAAATCCAAATTGTAGAACATTGCAGTCAGCTACTTGGCTGATCGAAGGTCAGCGGCCCAATTTAACGTCTGATTTAACCACTTGGCTGCCACATAGGTATATGTACAGTTTATAATGAAACATGTAAATAAAACTGTAATTGAGATGATGATTTTAACTTTTTAATGACAGACAAAAAACAGGTTCTGTTATAGTCCTTTTTTATAAAGTACAAAATATTATTTATTTTATATTTAATAATATAGTATTTTTATTGAGTTTGAAGTGTAATTGAATATTAGATATATTTTTGATATAATTATATTTGATTTAAAAATACCAAAGTAACATACCTGATGTAAATGGAAATAAGACATTATATGTATTGTTGATAGATATTAAATATCATAATTTACAACTAAATGAACATTTACTGTAAAAATATTTATTTTATAGTGATAGAAAAAAATAAAACTACCAAATAATTTAAGAAATTGTGTACTTTTAAATTCTTATCCCATTTTGTTTTAAACAAATAACCAAACATACAAGCAAAACCATATACATATTCAGTATTAATAAAGCTCCAATTGGAGAAACAAATAATGTGTTTATTGACAAATTTATAGCACCTGTACATAAATTTGCAACTAAAAAATATAAGAGACCATTATCATTAACTGCTGATAAAATTAAAGGAACAGAGAAATCTGTATTATTACTATGAAATTGTACTTCAAAGAAATATAAAAATGTAATAACAATAAGGAGGACTGATTCTAAATAGAGACAGTAGCTAGCATTAGCTAGAGTCCGTGATGCGGGTCTATAGAAATTAGCAATAAAACATGACAACCAGAAACAAACACTGAATAAAGTAAGTTTGATTTGTATTGTATATCTATTATTATTCTCATCTAAAAGTACTGACTTTAAATATGCTGCAAACAGATACAATGTGACATAGCCAAGACTAGAGCTTATGCCTTCTCTATTAGCATTTATTATGTTTGTTCTAAGTGTGTCACCAAATACCCACTTTTCTAAACCAATAATCAGTAAATATTCATGTACTACTAACAATAGAATACTTGCGAATAAAGCATGTTTAGTATATAATAAAATAACAGTTGAAATTACTTTGCATATTGCTAATGTGAAAAAGAAATTCCAATGTACACCATATTCTGTGACATGCTCTTGATAATCTAATTGTTTTATTGATATAAACCGAGCAACTCCTAAAATAATCAAAATAGTTACAAATTTAATATTACTTCTTATTAACATTGTGAAATTGTTATTTTTCGAGTTCTTATGTACTAAACCACTCATGAGAACAAATAGGCCAACACCAGTATCCATGAGACTGTAACCATAATTTTCAGTTTTAGCTAAATGTCTAGGAAATATGTTAAAATCCACTGCCAATATACAGAATACAGTTATCAAATAGGTCAAACCTCTCAAACAAGAAATGGAATGTAGTTTGTTGCTTTTAAAATAGTTCTTTTTTATGTATGTTTTTCGTAGTTTCAATTTTGAATAGATTGTGTAAAGGTGTTTCAGCAACAATGTAAATATTATAAAATTCAAGAGGTAAATGTAGTTGGATAAAATAGTATGCGCTAATATTAATGGCAGTACGATAACCATGTATTCATAAAGATATTGATATGTAATGGGATATTTAATATTTAGAGCACAGAAAATGGAGCACTGAACAGTGAAGAATATGCACAGAAATGTATGCACCGGTGTTGAACCGTGGTTGTTCTCCATAAACGATTCATGATACTTCTTGTATTCCTTCGCAGTCATGTTAAATATATTGTGATCCATTTTTGCACGCACTCCTATTTCAAAGAATACTAAAAAAAAATAAGTTTATATTCCAAGCGGTTAATTGAATCTAACTTTCATCCAAGTCAGCAAATCCACATTATTGTACAAATAAACAAACAAATAGTAGCATAAGCAAACGATAACTCTATTACCTATTATTCTATGGGCGATAAACAAACAATACAAATCTTTCTACTGTCATTTTGACTTTTGTATGTATGGCGAAGGGATTTGTGACTAACAGCCAGTTGCACAAACGTCTTTTAAAATTTTCATGAATTTAAAGCCATATTACCCATAAAAATTTGACATTAATTAGGGCTTAAAGGCGTCATTAAACAAAATCAAATCAAAATTTATTTATTCAGTTTAGGCTTCTACAGAGCACTAAAACTAAAAAGCCGAAAACTACGCTATCGGTTCGCAAAACTACAGCGGGAGACCTTGTATTGAGAAGAACCGGCAAGAAACTCAGCAAAGGCTGTTTTTTTCTCCCTGTTTTATTTCACACACAGAAGTCTTATGAAAAGTGACTTCATTAGAATTAGAATATGAAGTCACTTTCCATTACTATATTAGAAAGTAAATACAATAAAGTTAAAATATCTAACACCATGCCTTTTTGTCATTTAGATATTCCTTAACGGTATAATATCCTTTACTTTGTAGACAACTTTTAAAATGATTTATTGGCAAATCTAATACATACATACACTGGGGATCTTGTTAAAGTATTGTATACCTTGACCCATGAAAGAACCTAATACCTTCTGTAACCTGTAAGAAGGCATTACGGATGGATTCTTAGATATATTCTCTTGTAAATGGCTCACAAACTTGATTAAAAATATTCCAGGCTTATACGAGGGTCAAACTGAAAGTTCTTAGAAAATCAAAAACTGATTACATTAGCCAGTTATTAGTTTTATTATATCTTTTCAAAATATTGTCCATTCACGTCAATACACCGCTGCATGCGATGGAACCACTGGGAAAAGCACTTTGCCCACTCGTCCTTAGGGGTCTCTTCAATGGCATCGCGATACGCAGCCACCGCTTCTTCAGCATTCATAAACCGCTTTCCTTTAAGTTTTTCTTTAATTTTTGGAAATAAATAAAAATCACAAGGCGCGAGGTCGGGGCTATACGGCGGGTGACCCAGTAATTCAACGTTTGATGTCGCCAAATAGTCGATCGTTCGCTTGGCGGTGTGCGACGAGGCGTTGTCGTGGTGAAGGAGGATCCTACTGCGAGGTCGTTTCTCTCGAACTTTTTCCAAGACAAGTGGCAAACAATTGGTAGTGTACCATTCTGCAGAAACTGTTTTTTGATCCTCTAACACAATTGTTGCAAAATGACCTATCCTTCCAAAGAACGAGGCCACCATTTTTTTTCCCGCACTTCGATCTCTCTTCACTTTAGTTGGCAACTCCTCGAAAGGAAACACCCACTGAGCAGATTGTCTTTTGGTTTTAGGATCATAACAGTAAATCCAGCTTTCGTCACCTGTTAGTATGTCGAACACAGCATTTGAGTCACCTCCGTTAAATCTTTCAATCATTTTACGACACCAATCCACACGATGGAGTTTTTGAGCCTCAGTCAAATTATGAGGTATCCACCGGGCGCAAAGCTTCCTGACCGCTAAATGTTCGTGGAGGATTTTGTGCACTTGACTCATACCGATGCCTAAGCTTGTCCGAATCTGTTGATAGGTCACTCTTTTGTCAGTCTCTATCATACGCCGCACAACACAGATGTTATCTTCAGTCGTCGCCGTAGAAGGCCGTCCCTCACGTAAATCATCAGTGAGATTAGTGCGACCACGTTTAAACTCATTAAACCAGTTGTAAACAGTCGCACGAGATGGGGCTTCATCGTGAAAGGCCAATCGTAGTCTATCATAACTTTCTTGTTGACTTAAATGACATCGAAAGTCATAAAAAATCATTGCACGAAAATTTTCTCGTGTTAAATTCATGATGACGTGACACAGACAATTTTCAATTTGCCGCCAAATCGTAAAACAAATGACAAATGAATGAAATATATACTCAGTAATATTGGCAAAGAGTTATATTTTCAAATTTTAGAATTATTTTTTTATTATATTGTTTATAAGTGGCCAGTTCTAAGAACTTTCAGTTTGACCCTCGTATTTAACCATTTCCGTTTTTCTCGTATTTCTATCAGGCTAAATATATCACATATTTGCTACAGAAATAAAGTACTTAGTTCTTTTTTCTTACTATTATTTAAGACTATTGTAAAAATATGTAATTTTATTTTATTTGGATAAATACATGATTCACGAATGCCACATTTTAACTAATTTTTTAATTTTTCCATTGTAACTTTTCAAAACGCTGAACAGATCGTACGCTGTTGAGATCAAAAATTTTTCAATTTTTCACCTCAGGAATTCATGGTGTTTGCATTTCAGTAACATAATAAAAGAAGCTTCTTTTACTATGACAATGCTTTTGACTACAAATCTACAATTTTCGTCAGTTTTCCTTGTTAAAAATCGTATATTTTTACAAGTAACGGAAAAATATTTCATTTTAGTGACAGCTGTGTTTAAAATAGAGAATTTTATAAATTCATGTTTTGACTGTGATTGATCTGATAGACCCTTAGAAATTAAGTTTGTGATTATTGACATACCCTCATAAGACGCATCAAAGGTACCGCCCATTATTCATATGATGTTCTTTGTCATTTTTTGACCCTCCCTTCCCTCTGGTGTTATATGGTGAAGTTAAAGACTACCGAGAAATCATGTGTTTTTTTGAATAACTAAATACCAAGAATCTTATTTTCGGATTAGTAATGACGGGTTTGATGATATAATAAATATCGTAATATTTTACTACACCCTCTCAGCCTTGTGATATTCGTGATTTATTACGCCCTCCCCTCGAGCCTCGTGTGATTTAATGGACGGCTTGAAACCGGTTCAGAATAAACCGTTTTAATTTAGGTAAAACCTCTTCTCTTGTAATGTTCCGTTCCGGATCGGAACTAAATGTGGAGTGAAATTCGGATGGAATAAAAACCGGTTAATTCGCTTGGTTCGTATTCGTAAAAAGCAATGTTCTTACGCTTTTAATGCGAATTAAGTCATTTTTCAGCGACGACATTAATCATACCTGTTTACGGATGTTATAGATATGGTATAGGCACTTAAAAACCGCGCTGAAGTTTTAAGGATCATTGTCTGGAGTCATATTTAAACCGGTTAATGAAGAAAACCATATTTCTATTGAACCGATTTAAAAACCGGTTCAAAGGAGCTTAACCTTTTATGTAAAGTACCGCATGTACTTACGTCGAACCGGTTCAAAAATAAACCGGTTTCCAAGCTCTGACGGTTGGGCATGCAACCAGGTTTTCGGTTACCCGAATAAACCGGTTATTCGGTCTATTGGAAAACCGATAAATACGATTTTACTAAACAAGAAATCGGTTTTTTGTAGTTTTTGTGTATTAACTAACTACTTGCAATTTATTTTGAAACAGACACATATTTAACAAAATGAATAATATTTATTTTTCTTTGTCCTAATTAGTTATTTTATCAATCCAAGAAGTGTTGTTATAATTATTGCTTTATTTATAGTGATTTGATATGATATTATTATGATATGTTTGTACTAATGTCTGTTACATTTGTTATGTGAAATTATATGTGTGTACAAAATAAATAAATATTTTCATGAGTTGTTTCTTCTTGTTATTAAACTTACTGTTATGTTTTAGAATTTTAATTAATTTATTTTAAAACTAGACTATCGGATAATTTACTTTTTATTAAAAAAAACTTGCTTATACTGCTGTTTGATCTCATAAAAATCTAAGAATAAGTGTAAAAACAATAACAAACGCTTTATTGCATACAAACTAATACAGTTTACAATATAAAATAGGAGTAAACAAAAAGTGGCGTCATTGCTAAACAGAAATCTTTTCTAGGCAACCTATGGTGAAAGAAGAAAATTTAACGATAGGTATACTGTTGAGAAGTGGGTGCAATGTTGGGAAGGAAAAATAGATTAAACGGCTTTTGCGGATACATCCTAAATAAAGATATCGAAAAAGATGAAAATCTGATCGTTGAAAGAATTGAATGAGCGAGATTTCTTAAAACTCTGTACGAGAGAATCCCGAAGTCGTAAAACATGCACAGAGAATGAATAGGAGACGAACTCTGTTAAGTGATGAGGAATCTCGAGAGTGAGATTGCAAGAGGACCGCAAAGAACGAAGAGAGGAGGAAGAGCGAAGAAGGATTCCTATAGAAAACGTGGAGAAGGGGAAAGGAAAAAAATAGAATAGACAGCCTTAAGAGGATACTAATCCTTGCGCCGGCTAATAGGAAGCCATTATAACTTAGAATGGAAGTATGATAAGTGGTCATATTCACGGAGATTGAAAAATAATCTAATTCAAACATTCTACAGATGCTCAAGGGTATTAAGAAGTTTCTCCGATAGATCTGTATAACATACGTGAGGGTAGTCAATAATATAGAATGTCTCAGTAAGAGTGCATTTTTTTAAATTCAGAATCCTTTTTTTCGTGCAAGTGGCAACTCAAAGTTCCTGTCTCCTACGTTCATACCGATTATTAAAAATAGAGCGCTTTTCAAAAGAACAACGCGTTATAATTGTGAAAACTCATTACAAAAATAAGAAAAGTTTCCAGAACACATTATCTCAAAAAATTCTGATGTTGACTGGCCACCAAGATCGTGCGATTCAACGCTGTGCAATTTTTTCCTATGGGGTTTTATGAAATCTCGTGTTTATGCGAATAAATTAAAAATAATCCCTGAGCTTAAATTAGAGATCTAACGAGTCATCGGAGATATACGGCCAGATCTCTGTGTAAAATTTAATGAAAAGAGTAATGGCCTATCATCGTGCTGGCCTAGCCGTGGGGCATTTGCCGGATATTTTATTCCATATTTATCACAACATGTCTTCTTTACAAACCAGTAATAATATCACGACTCAGTCATAAAATATATCTTTTGATTTAAAAAAAGAACACTCTTACGGAGACACACCTTAGATAATAAAAGAGAATGAGCTAAGGTAATTTTAGTGCTAGCCGGTAAGAAATGATGCAGGCATTAGAAAGAGTGATACGCAACTGAACATACTGTTTATTAAATACAACTGGTTTGAGAGTTTCAGAGTAAGGAATAATATTGGCGTCGAAAGTTACATAAGGCAATTGTTCAAAGTCAATCCCAAAACGAAATGTCGAAGAAATAATGTTCTTTATATTAAAAATATAGACTAATTTCATTTAAATAAAACGAATTTTCGTATAAATCTACACATTTTATTTTAGGTTTTTATCACAAATAAAAAAGAATAACCAAAATAACCCTAATGGATGGCCCCAAACGGCAATGTCTCACGGGATCTCCGGCTTAGAGGCTGTTAGAGCTATCCGCTTTATCTCTAGTATAGTAGCAACATAAAGCATTTTGGTATAAATATTGGACTGCAATGGTAGTACGACAAAAGAAAGATCAATTCATTTGTTTAATTTTTATTTAGTTCATCTACCACAAAGACTAGCTTAATACTAATTTGTGACTTACTAAGAACGAATACTTTATTGTACCTACAAAATCATAAATAAGAACTTAAACGTAAACCTTACACTACAGACAAGACTGAACAGCACAATACTGGATACAGAATCATAAACATTGTAATTCGGCATTTATTTACAACCCGATGGCAGCACCATGATTTAACGTCAGTATATATGAAAAAGGAATAGGTCCGGTATATTAACATTTATAATGGCTTAAAAATCGAAATCGTAGGGACGGTTCGGGCGCCGCTGACCGAGGGGTATGTTGACCTCTTCTGCGGAGTGGAACACCTGCGGCTGTTGCTGTTGCTGCGGCCGCGCCGGACGCGGCGCTTGTTGGACTGGCGCTGCTCTACGGGGGCTCTCCTGTGAAAGCAAAATGAAAATTATTAAAATCAGACTACCAATCATCTGCCTCCGCAGAATCGTAGAGTTCTTCGGCCATATCGCTCGAAAATACGGTCACGACCTCGAACAACTGATAGTGACAGGCATCGTAAACCATGCCAACCAAGAAGCCCATTAAGATGTTCAAACCAAAAACGGTCATGGTTAGATACCAGTCTCTACAAGGCACTCCACGAAGCAAAAGACCGAAACAGTGGACGGATATAGTTAGAAAGAAAGTGAGCGAGGGAGTCACGTCCTTCAGGAATAAGGAGCACGACACGAAGAGAGAGAAAGAGAGATTAATATTAGACGTACGAATCTAACCAAAAGACAGACCTACAAAGTAAACGTCTGGTATAAAGTATAAATTTATATTCAGTGTCCCAAGTCCCAAACAATTTCATTTCTGAACACTCTTCAAGAATTTTTATATTTGATCAATTTTGCATTCACAATGCTTGATTTATCAATATCTTTAATGGAAAATGCCTTAACAAATCGCTTCCTTATCTTGGGGTGCCTGGGACTGATGATTTTATTATAAGAATTGTTCATTAAAGAATGAATCAAATACCTATAATAACTACAACACATATCTCTTAATCGCCTAACACTGGCACCCGGGGCTAGTGCCTCTACTTGCCCCCTAAATCCGGGCCTGACGAATCCCATCTCTAGGTGTCTGGAACTGGTGAATTTCTTACAACAACGAAATACCGTCATAACATCGATTAGATGTCATATCGCATCCTATGGTTTGAGAGTTAGGCGGTCGCGTTATGTTAATACCTACGAGTACTATATACATAAGCTTTCAGCTTCGTATTAAGTATAACATATTTACCTCTTCTTCCTCTTCCTGCTCATACCGGTCGTCCCTGTAAACCTCAGCGGGGTAGTACCGGTCGGAGTATTTGAGGGAGACGTTGGGCTTGCGCTGTACTTCTTCCTCATTGATCGGTCGGTACAGATATTCGTTCACAAAGTGGTACTTGGCTGACTTCTGGCAAATGTTGTCGTGTGTAGGCGGCATACAGATCAAATGTACCTAGTGTAAAAAATTATGACTTTAATGTTATGTTATATTAGCCGCTTTTCGGCGACTTCTGCCCACGTGAATTATAGCCTATGGTGTAGCTTCCCGTGAGTAAAAGAGATTAAACTACATCTAGCAGCACGGTATCGCCTGTACGTCGACTTATCTTTTTCGGTAGCATACTAGCGACAACATTATGGAAAGATAACCAAATAATAAGATAGTTTTGCACCACCATCACTTAAAAGTTTTTTGTTTTCGTTTACCTGGTGGAAGGTAAATCCATCAGGACATATCCAGGAATGCTTGACATTGTCCTGACAATAGTGAAATACTTCACAGTTGAGCTCCTGGTCTGCATAGTAGCCGGTCTGCTTGGACACGCAGTCGAATTTAGATTGCTGCAGCAGCTGGGCTAGGCGATCAGGTTCCTCTTTCTCCTCTTCCAATTCCTCCTCAACTTCTTGCAGCTGTTGCTGTGTTATCTTTGCTGGTCTTTGTTCTTGTTGTGGCTGTGAAAATTTGAACATTTATATTTTAGTGCGGTCCAATAAAATTAAGTTCAAGTCAAGCTACAAAAAGATCAAGGATATTAATTAATTTTTATACATTTTTATAGTCATGTCACATAGGCCGACGTGCATATTTCTTAAAGTAACTGGATGTTATACGAATAAGAGTAATTACCTACATAATCATCTCAATAATTATGGCGATATAAGGCGAGTTTTTCAAACCCCATAGAACTAATACGAATTCACGTAGTTGCTGTAGAAAGTATCGGTCAGACAGCCTAGACTTTCGCTATTCAAATTACACATTAATATACATAAACATCACATTACCCACGTAGAAATTTTGATATTTTAGATTGTATAAAACGATTATTAACGCGATAGATTTCGATAGTTAGGTTTTTCACCTACATATATTTCCCGACGTTTCGACCAGGTTGCACCAGCCGTGGATATTTATCTTATGAAATAATAAATACCTACTATTTTATTATGCATGTAATATCAAATCATCGAAGCTCTATAAGAATTTATGTCCATTACTGCTACCGACAATGAGCGTTCGGTATTCAAGATTCTAGCAGCTCAAGCAGTCATCCTAAACCAATTAAGCAATTTTGAATACAGATTTAGTTTAGATGACAGTTCAGCTAATTAAGTTACACAATTTTAAATCTTATATGGTCGACCATCCAAGATAGTGGACTGTTATCTTTTAAGAATTAAATAGATTTTATTTTAAATCTAAAATGGCGAATCACCCAAGATCTAGCGGTTGTTATTACCTTCCTGTGAGGTGTTCTGACAGGAGCCCGCTGCTCTTCAATGTAAACCTGCTGCGTAGGCCTGGCGGGCACTAAGAACTGCTGTTGCTCCTGTTCCTGCGGCCGCTGCTGGTAGCCGGCCAGTTCGGCTAGTGACGGTGTCGGCCGGAATCCAGTCGGCAGGGCGTTGTACGCGGTCGGTGTGTAAGCGCGCGGACGCAGGTTCCGCGTTTCCTGTGAATGTGATAAACATTATTAATATCTTTGTTTCACTTTATTAATTTATCAAAAAATGTGTTTTCAGTTTTTTTTAAATTTTCGGTTGGATTGTCTTTTTTTAATAACTGTTTCGGGGAATATTACAAATGAAATTCTCGAATTGTAATAAAGCACACATTAAAAAGATTTATTAAATATTGTCCTTATTAATCAACAAACAGGTAATAAATTCACTCAGAGAATTAAATTCTAAGTCAAATCATATCACCTATTATATTTGATCAATTATGCATTCACGAAAAAGTAACAAATGCTTGAAAAATTCGTCAGTCCTGTTAGGTCCTGGGTTAGAACAATCGCCCTGATTGCGAAAGGTCATGGGTTCGAGTTCCATCTCTAAGTGCCAGGGACAAAGTGGATTTTTCAATAAGAAATCATACCATCAATTTAATAATTATACTAAAGTGTATGCGTATCCCAAAAAAAAAATCACTAATCTTTAACTAATTTTGTACGAAGAAAATATTCATATATATATATATAGATTATAAAATAAAATTATAGAAAAAGATTAAAAAAAAAAGGAATACATATATGGTTAACACTTCAAAATAATCGAAAAATAATTCTTAAAACACACAAAGGCGGTTAACACATTTAAGAAAAATTATTTTGAAGTCGGGTGAGGATATGCTGTGCATGAATTTAACCATTAAGACTTAAGGTCATTTTTTAATGTCTTTCGATTTTTTGAAGTTTTTTGTAAAAAGAAAGATGAAACATAATATTTTAAAAAAACGATAGCATTTTGTTAAAAAAAAATTATAACAAAATACTTATTTTAATAAATCGTTTTCAGACGTTCAACTAAACGAAAACATGTTGTTCAAGTCTTCACACGACGATGGAGGAAACTGATTATTTTATATTAGCTCGTGTAATACTGTAGAATAGAAATAATGTTGTAGTGCTCCAATATGTATATGACTAACGGAATTCCAATATATCTAAAACGCAAATTAACTTCTCTAATATTTATCGAAATGACATTCCAACAACACCACTTTCTAACGGTTTCATACGAATCGATATAATGACATAATATAAAAATTTTAATATTCATTTTGGCATGTAAGCACATAATCGTAATTATGTTTTTGCCTTCAGGCATGGCGGACAATACATTTGCCGCTGTGCGGTCGAAACATTACATAATTTCCGTAATTATGTGTAATAATTTGTTACTACACTTTTCATTTTTAAAAGCACGCGTCTGAAAAAGAAATTCTGTGTAGGTAGAAAAAAAAAATCGGACACCAGTCGTTCGTGCGCAACGACATTGCAAACGTATGCAATTATTTCATTGAATTATATCACTGGACAGTAGCTGATTATGTGATACTGCTGGATCCGGGTAAGCTGTAATGGCCAATATATTATCGCCATTTTAAAACTCAATTAAAACTTTAACTCCAATTTTTATCTGCTTACAAAATTTATTTAAGGTTCATGCAAATCTGACAAAATTCCGTGAAATGCTCAGCTCACGGAAATATGCGACGTAATATCCGTCGAGTATGGAAGGTCAAATATCATGTAATGTACACACGGGTGCACGTCACGCTGCACACCACCACCGTAAGCAGGCCTCTGTTAATAGGGCAGTCCACAATGTTTAGTCTGAAGTGCGGCTGTATGTGCAATCTCCACCAAACAGGAGGCTGAGGAGCGCAGCGTCACTCAGCGTAGAGCACGCACGCGCCAGTAGATGACTACATCCCAGGCCCGGATCTACGATTTTTATTAACCTGGGCAGAAAATTCGTATGGCCCTTCCTCTTTGATAAATTACTATATTTTTCCAATGAGAAAAATATAGTTTTATTAATAGTTTTATTAAACGAGCTGTTCTTATTATTATATATATTATAATGTGTATGAAAAACATTGTGAAGCGTAGCGTGGACATTAGCTATTGTACATAAGTCTGAATTGGCTTAAGCACAGAATGAAGAGGTTAGTGGAGATCGAACATCACATAATGGTCAGTTCTTTTTTTTCGATCGACGAGACGATACGTATCTTCCGTCAGGTATGCACCGACCCTGAAAGTAACTTTATTGATAATAAAAAAGATTCAACGTTTATAAAATAAGTATTAAAAGACTTAAATATAGTTTTTTTCATATACAAAAGTACATTTGGCCAGCAACGTAGTTTTCAAAACGTAACAATTGAAATCTTCTGAAATTATCTAAAATCTATTTTTTAACCGATGCGATGTATGTTTTATATTTTTGACCGATTTTCAAAATTCTATTTCATTGGACAGCTTATTAGCCAGAAGCGGTCCGATATTTTTTTTCGGAATCGGTTCATTTGTTTCTATATCAAAATATTATTTTTAACTTACTGTTTTTTTCTCGGATTCTTGATCGATTTTCAAGATTATTTTTTTAAACGATACATATATTTATTAACAAAATATCAATACTAATATTATAAAGAAATATTTTTTCAATTGTTTGTTTGTTTGAGGTAATCTTCAGAAATCCTGATTCTATCATGAAAATTCTTTCACTTACTGAATGGTCTTATCATACGTGGGTTACATAGGATATAATTTATGCAGGCCAGCGAAGTCGCGGAGAAATAGTTATAATATATTATTGGTATTTCGAATAGGTATCTTCAGCTGATGAAAAGTTTCTTGAAAAGTCTAGTAGCGGTCTAGCTGTGAAAGCGTAACAAACAGTTACTTTCATATTTACAATACGCCTATGGTAGCTCTGAGTACCATGAAAATAATCAACACTGCATCGACGAATGCTTACCGTTTAGAAAAAGAGGATTTAAAAAAATAAATGATTTAGCTTTCGACTTTCTCTAGTGCTGGCCTTGCTCGGACATTGACACCTAAACGGAAAGAAAAATTGCATCGTTCGCCGCCCGAGACCGCTCTCGAAAACGGTCACGATCTATGCGAAGGCTACGCGTCCGTCGGCCGTCGGGAAATTGCAATATAAACATCTCTGACACCACACAAGGCAAGATGTTATGGACCCATCTTAGATCGAGCCCTATGATGTCTAAAATTTATTAATCTGTAGTATATTTTTCATTTCTAATCAAGAGTCCTAGAGTCATAGTCCATAGAGTCATGGTTCATAGAGTCAAACCTACTAACAGCCAGTTGCCAAATGCCCATTAGAATTGTCATTAGTTTAATACAACATAACAAGTTTTCAAGTTAATAACATTCATTTGATAATAAAGTCGTCGTTAAACCTTAATGTGCGTTTGTGCAACTGACCGTAAAATAAATAAATATAAGACAATATCACGAACGTTAATAAGATCCCTAATTGAATAGCTAAAGCACTTGTATTTTATGGAAATTTCCTATATTGCCCTACCAGAAATCGAATCCAAGACCTAAGAGATGGAACACATTGTGACCGATGTGCAAGTCATTCGGCCAATGAATTCGTCAACAAAGTAGGCGACATATAGATTATATCATTCAATATATACATTTTCACGTTTTCTTTTGACATTCGTTTAAATATATAATTATCGTTACGTATAATTTATAAATGTAAAGAAGCTTTCATTTAGTGATAATTTCATCCCTTTATCAGCGGAACCCATCCAAGACAGATTACAATCACCAAATCACAGTGATACATCTATAGTATAAGGTAGCAATTAAGTGTCCAACTCCGACTAACTCTAAACAAATCTAAGGAATATAAGTGAAAGTATTTTAAGATAGCCAAACCCCGGTCTAAAGCAAGAAGTACTTTCGATTTTCGAAACAAATAAAAGCAAAGTTACCACTGACAACTATTACATACTTCTTTTTATTGTTAATACACTTAATAATGGCAACACTCTAGATTGTAGATTGATTTGTAAGTGTTATACGTGGAACTTTTGATTCGTTATTAATTTTATGTTCGATTGTTTTTTTATACACAATCATGGAACACAATTGCAAATCTAGCTTTAAGTAATACAAGGTTGCATTATAAAGCTATGCTAGATGAATGTTTGAGTTATTGTTAATATTTTAAAGTAAAACCCCTTCTCTATCCAGTTGTGATAAATCCACAAACAACAAAATAGATTTCCATATTAATTCATTGGACGTTCACAAATAAGATCTAGATGGATGAATCATAAAGAGTTTGTAATTTGCTGAAGTAGAATGAGGGTTATTGAGGATATTAGAAAAAATGCCTGTTACAAATTGTATCAATATAGTCAAAAGAGCACAATGTCTCTTTGAATCTTTGAATATCCTGGTTACCCACTTACCCACTAAATATGTAAATTTATATACCGTACAAAAGTTGATACGGTTTCTTTCCCAGGGTTATTCCATATCTAAAGGAAGTTCTACTTATAGTCGAGAGAAGTAATTATTTCAGGTTACGTTAGAAACTTAAGCAATTAGAATTAAATTGGAATGAAATAAGAATTATTTGTTAGAAAACTATTTATAGCCTATGTCAAATGTATGATCTAGTTACCTATAGGTGAAAGAATTTTTAAAATCGATTAAGATACAAACAAACAAACAATCAAATCTTCCCTCTATAATATTAGTAGAGATAAATAAGTATAGATTAAGTTCGAACTTCATTTAAGTTCACGTTTATTGTATAAAAATATTTGCTTTAATTGTGACATATTCTCAAGTACATAATTATTTCTCTTGACGAGTGTAAGACGCGTTTGAACAAGAACTAATATTGCCGTTGCCGTAAACTTCAGAGGATACATTTTGGAACTGCTTTTGTATCAAATTAATTATGTATACAGTGGACCAATTAAATAAAAGGCTACTTTCACTGCAAAGACCAAATCACCATGAGATAGTGCGTGGAGTGTTCCGTATGTTTAGTGGACAGTATCTAACATCTTATCAATGGCTAGACACAGTTTGCACACAGCCCTGCATGTTCAATCGGTGATTGCAATGAAATATACTTTAATAAAGCCACAAACAATAAATTACACCTAATTGTGTTTCTGAAGTATTTGTTCTGTTTCTTTGTTTATTTTGATTTTGAAACTTAAACATAAAGTCAATTTCTAAAGTCTCAAAATAAAAGTGAACAGCTAAAGGTGTCGTTCTTATGAAGCGAAATATAACAAATAATATTTCATTTACATATAAACTGTTCCAAGCTCTCAAATTAAAATTTCAAAGGCGCTTCGAAGTTTTTCTTTGACGTAAATTATAATTACAAAAAGGTTCTAATCTAAACAGAGACTCCTTTTGATTGCTTATTGTTTTGTACGTGAAAGTAAAATATATTATATATCGATACCTACCTATAGTGTAGATAATAACGCTAAATGATATAATCATCATAACGTTATATGATATTTATCTCGGTTATTTAATTGGCGAATCTGGGACGTAAACAATATTCCGGAACTTCTTTCATTTTGATGTTATGATTGAAATCTCTATTAACAAAAATCAAAGGAATCGATACGGAGAAACCACGCTTACCAAAATATAGATCAAGATGCCGATAGAAATCAACTATTAAATTGTGTAATTATTGCTGGTAATCATTTGAAGGAATAAAATGATCATGTATTAGTTAAAAAATAAGGACAGTGTTACACCACCTAATACCGAACCCGAAATTGATCTGTTTCTATGACAATTGCAATAATTCCTAATAGCATGATTTATAATGACGCAACTGTTGACATATCACTATCACAAAATAAACCCCGAAGTTACGGCAGGAAATATTTAAGAAACATGTACCTACAGATGAATTGAGAACATGCTCTTTTTTAAGTAGCTTAAAAAATCCTATTATTATCACTTACCTTATGTTACAATTAATTACATCACAACCAATAAATAATAAACATTTTATTATTTTGATGAAATGAATAAACTCTTGAATATATAAAAAGGTGACAAATCTGAGATCAGTTGCACAAACATCCATTAAAGTTTAACGTTGCCTTTAATCTCTAATGAATGATATACTTGTGTCGGTAATATCGCTTTAAACTAATTACAATTTTAATGGACGTTTGTGCAGATGGCCGAGAGAGAGCCATCATTTTCGATGCATTATCATGCCACTACTATTTCTTGAAACACGATGCAATGAATGTCAATACGTTGCAGTAACACACTGATTAAGAAATATTACATTATAATGGAAACACGTACCTCTTGGTCGAGTGCCAACTCCTCTTCGTCCCCATCTACTCCAGCGTCAGGCACATTGTCGTCTTCCTCTGAAGCTAACGCCGCTCCTAACACCAACAGCGTCACCAAAAACCTCCACCTGGCGGCAAGACAATTCTCTCATAAGACGAATTTATTCAACAAATATGTTTACGTTTAATGAGAAATACTTAAAAATGGGACTCGAACCCACAACCTTCCGCTGTTGGCGACTGCTCTAACTACTGAGTCACAGACACCCCACAGCAGGCCAGTCATGTTAATATTTACGTAACAATCGCATTTCAAGCTCTCAATAGTCTTAACTACTTTAATTTTGCCATTGTACTATTTACATACAGTCCAATAATATTAATATTTGTTACCACTGATGTGTGGAATAGATATTTCACTAATAATGTTGGACTTTAGGTAGATAGTAGTATAACATTAGCAGAATAGGCTTGCTGGACTGACAAAATTCTCAAGCACTTGTTAGTTTTCGCTAGGTAATCGAGCCAAACAGCTTGATATAAAAATTTTTTGATCACCCATCTTATGACCGACCCTTATCGGAGACAGAACGCGCTAACCACTGCGCTATTGAGCTAAGACGGTTTATTAATCGCAAAATAATAAACAATGCCCGGATATTGACCAAAAAGATGATTTCTTTATAAATTATTTCGTACTTAACACCTATCATAGATTAGAAACTCGATTTCCTCACTTAATGATAAAATTTGTAATTAGATACATCCTTTAACTTTGCATTGAAATCTAATTTCGTTTATATTAAACGGTTCCATCTGATTTCACGGATTTCCTAATCATTTACGCATTAAGAGATAAACACGACCTTAAAGTTGTGAAACATTAGATTAGACAGTTAACAGCAAACTGATAATAGCCTTATTGGACATTAACTTGAAATGTCATATTAGTTTTCAGTGACTGTGGTATTACTAGATATCGAACTAAAAAATAGTGTCAAAACTATGAACCATTTATTTATCACTCCGCCCGCGGCTTTGCCCGAATGGAATTTGGGTATTATCGCCCTTCGTATTTTCATCTCTTATTTTAACCCCTTTACGCCTATTTTTCGCAATAAAAATACTTTATATCCTTGCCCTAGGTCCACTCTATTAACGAATGAAATTTGTTCATAAAAATGGCTTCAGTAGTTTAGGCGTAAGACATGGATTTTTTAACGTCAATTAATTGCTTCGATAATTGTTTTGTCTGTGATACGTTTGTATATCATCTGTGGTGGTTATGGTGGTTATGGTATCGTCAGTGTATGTACAACATCATATAGGATTATTTTATGTCATTTATAATTCATAATGAAGAAATATAATATTATATTTCTATTGAGAAGTACATACATACTTTATACCACAGTAAATGAATACAATACAAAAGAAAATAACTCTAGAACCGGGGGCCACCCAAGTTGTTACAATTTACATAAATGACAAATGTAAGAAGATAAACAAGAGAGAAGAGTTACATAGTTTATGATATTTGTGTGTTTGTATGACTTATGACTACAGATCACATAAAGTTTTTGCTTAAAACTTAATTATTTTGAATGAATGAAAAATTTTTGGTTCGAAAAATTAAACTGAAATTTATTTATAGGTATATGAAAAAAATTATGTCATACTTTTAATTATATTCATTTTATAATGAAACTGAGTCTATGTAAGAGTTATTAATAATCCATTTAAGACAAGAGGGCGCCGCGTTATGTAATGATCGCATTTCTCCAAAATATATATTGTACCGCGTGCGCAGGGCGATTGCGCAACTTAATTGATGCTATATGGTCTCACGGCTGATTTAATTTTACGGCAGTGGAACTGGTCCGAAGGGTCACACAACAATTATGCGATAATAATTGCATTCGCTGCATTTTACTTTCTAAAGCTGCGATACGGCACATTAATGGTTCATGGGAAATGCAATATAAGAAATGTAAGTGGGCGAAAATTTCCATAACTTGTTACACGTGATGTGTGATTTTAACGCCGTCGGACATATTGACTTAAATTGTCTTCCTTGCCATTAGCCGAATGTTACCTTACAAAAGTTAATTAATTATTTCATAATATCAAAAATCCAAAAGAGATTCTAGTGAGATTTATAAAATAAAGTATATGAAATGTCAGCCAGAAGTATAAGGTTTCTCTTGATCTAATACAACACAATGAAATGAATTTTGTATATAAAGATAATCTAACAATTAATGATTGAAGAGAACAATGTACATTTTACTGACGCGTTGATGTCTTTTATAGCTAATGTTGACTTAATCGAAACAAGTACCTTTTTTTTCTATTCACTATTAAAGAGCTGTTTTCTCACGACTTTGCCCGGGTAAATAACGCGTATGATGGTCTATGTCACCCGCGTATGATGTATTTCTTCCAGTAAGTGAAAGAATTTTTAATATCGATCCAATAGCTTCGGAGCCTATTGGATACAAACAAACAAGCAATCAGATGTTTCCTCTTTATAATATTAGTATAGATTTACGCACATAAGAAAATGTATAGGTAATTTAAGTTGTTGACAGAGTAGCGTATCGTATCAATCACAGACTTTATGATAGTAACCGATGGAACGCCATAACCGCACTAGTGGTTGGAAGTTTTGGGGTCATCGGAGAGCGAGTACATGTAATATGGTGCTTCGCAACACAGCGGGTGTGGCTCCTGGTACTTTAACGCGATTAATAGTGTGGACACGTAATTATCAGAACCCGATCATAACGCATTGATCCGAATACAAGAGGAAAAAAATATCTTTATAAAGTATGTAACACGTTATGTTGTTTACAATGTTTTTGCTGAATTATTCAATGACGCAATAAAATGTGAATATTTGTATATAGATTTTATTTTATTAAAAAATTACTACACTTATTTTATCAATTATTTAATTTTAATAGTTGCGTTAGTCTGCCGGTTTCAAGGTGTCGTTGTCTCAGAGGTTCCATGTTCGATTCACGGTCGGGTCAAATTGAAATGGAACTTTTGAGTGTACGTTTTCTATATAAGTTAATTATTACAAAATAAAATAAATAATAAACATATAACAACATCATAATCACAACAAAGTGAATTAACTTTCAATTAGCTCCGAAAGTGATATGGCAAGTTGGATGCCTCTAACACCTCAGAAAGAATTTAGTTGACCTTAGTTCGATTAATTGCAAACTTCTCAAAATAAAATACACTAACTGTAATAGTGGAATGCAGTCACCACAGAATCACACGCAATTCCTATATTGCGTAATCCAAGGAATATCCGATCCGATCTATTAAGTCTAGTTTCTCACAAGCACATTTCGAAATGCCTAGAATATTGAGAACCAATATACTAGTTATTGTCATCGTTTAAGACCCGCAATATACCGACGTGACATTCCGTTACTTTCTCCATCAAAATCATCCAATCGTGAAATGGAAACTTGCGTATTAACCGTTCGCCATTTTTGACCGTTGCCATATAATTGCAAAAAGTTATGTACCTATTCTACCTATACCTAATTTTGCGTGCTTTTTGGTCCGTAACAAGAGTTTACTAAATAAATATACTCAAGTAAAATACCTGTCACTTTGCCGACGTTTAGAAATAGATAAATTCGCGTCTGGTTTCAAAATAAACATTTTCAGCAGTTGAAATTTAACTTGGTTCATTTTTATCAATAAAATGTAAATGTTAAAACTATTCAACTTCCGAATGTATGTCTTAATTATCACTAAATTTTGTAATTAAGATTTAACAGAATTAAAACAATGAAAAATATGCCAATGAAACTAATTCAGCGTTTCACTGTTTTAAACGAAATGTTAAGAAATATTAATTTTAATATAATTTAGTGCACAGCGGGTGTTCTTAAAAGTATATAAAGTAAAAACATTGTAACTTGATAAATAACAAAACGTTTTTCATAATACTGTGCAAAAAATAAGGTAAAAAAGTAAATATAATTGTTCAGTTTATTTAATTTGCATCACAAAAAGGGTGAAACGCTCCCGAGTTAATTTAGGATTTTGTTTGTTTTTTAATAATTCTTTGTAGTCCAATTGAGGCCGCGATCGACGCCCTTGATTTTGGTCACGGAATTTCAACAATTCTTCACAACTTAATAGTTTTTTGTCACTCTGATAAGACACTTGATTTCGTGCGACTATATCACGACATTTGGTATTCATTTTTGGAAAATGTCGGTCACCTGTTTCACTAATTTATAATAACAACTATAAATAAAATCTTGAAGCGAATATATTACGACAACGTTTTTAAATTTTATTCATAGTATAATAAGTACTAGTTTTAAATAGTTTTTAATTTGAAAAATTCTTTTTCAGTCTTTATTCGTTTTACTAAAAATAACCTACTTAAATGCGGTCTACATATAAACTATGGAACAACAACTCTTATAAGTAGCAGAGTGTTGTCATTATAATATTACATAAATTAAAAAAATATATATGCAAGTAGTTTTTCACACGATCTCGCTTTCACATGTCACATAACATAATCATCACACAGAATGACCGGCGACTTCAATGATCACATGAATCGCAATATATCGTACTTGCACGTTCGAAAAGTTCAAATGACCATGTTCAAAAGTTCAGTGACGATGCCGTTTTAAGGCGATGGCAGACAACGGCGGCCTTGAACATATGTGCATATTGAGCTAGTGGTTCTTCCGCGTCTGCAAAATTGTATATCGAATCGATAAAACTATATATTTGCTATTGCAAATGTCATTTTTATATATGTTACAGATAACTAATAAAAATGCTCTATAAAAATTAATTTTATAAAAATACGTTCAGTACATAATAAAACGTAATATTATCGGTCTTTTATCGAGTTTTTTTTGTGTTATTATTGTGTACAAATTGCAAAACACTGTTTAGTCATTTTATTGTGCCAAATAGATAGATTGCTCTGCAGTTTAAGGTTTGTATGATCGAAAACCCGTGAAAATTATATATCTGCGCCTTAAAAATAGAAGTAGCGGAGATCGTCGCGTGCTGACGCTACATTATCCACGTAGTTTCACTTTCATCCGTTGCGTAACTCTCCTGGTTAGTAGCGGTATCGAGATGAACTAGATTGCCGACTAGCACCTGTGATCCGTAACGGAGTGCGTAAAGAAGACACCGTTAAATCCCATTTGTTCACAGTTCATTTCACGCTGTCTCGACTCGCTTCAATCTACACAGCATAATTTGCGGTTATTGAATTTTGTAATAATTTCGTGTTATTATTGTCGCTTACACAATATTTGTTCTCCTACAATAGTTATACATTTGAACTGTAGAGAAACAATACAAACTGATCTTATTTTTGATAATAAGTATTTGCAAAAAAATACTAATAGTATATTAAAACTAAAACATCATTCCACATAAAACAAGCGACCGATTTTTAAAAATTCTTTAACTATTGGGAAACGAGCGCTCACGTAATATATCTAAGCCAGACATGTGTTCTCTGCTATCGCTAACTATCCACTGCGTTACCGCCCACAACTTCCTTCTATCTTTATTTTTTATTGTCTGTCTCCAATGATGTATATAGGGCGATATATGATGTTGAATTTAGAACCTCTCAGTCATATACAGTCCTTATGTCGGTACTGGATCGTTTAAGTACATAATTAATCAACCTACTTTATCCTGAATGATTTATCTCGATTGCCTCGTGTCAACTCACGCATGTCAGTGTCTGCGACAAGCGCAAAACTAGCATGAGTGTAGGGTTGAGAACAAGCATTGTACTTATTTAAGTTTTGCCTTTGAATTAGCCCGCGTGTTACAATTTAAGAAGAAAAAAAAACTCTTCTAAATATTTATTTGTAACTTCTCAAATACCTAAATACAAAACTTCATAGTTTTATTCTTATCAATGACGAACTTCCAATTTTCAATCAATTTGCTCGCAATAAAAGTAACGGTCAACTTACTCTGAACCAAACATTAAAATCGTTTCAGTAGTAAACACCTTAAAGCGTAACAGATAGACAGTTTTCTCAATTATAATTTTAGTTGATTGAGATTCACTAATGGAGTTACGGTCGTTGTGTTATGTTGTGTTATGTTCATTAATCATTGTCTAGCCCCTGATAATAGGACCTTCATAGAGCATTATTGCCTATTTCCTAATAGGTAATAAGGATTTAGGAATGTCATATTGATATAATTATATAATATTGTCTACTAGAATTATGATTATTTATGTAGGTCGGGTCTGTACGAGGAGTTATGCTCATTTCAACCCAGTAGAAATATTTCACGAGACAACTGTCTTCTTAAATGGGCAAAAAAATGCAACTAAACAAAAAATACAATATGGCTTATAGATCTATTCTATCAAATGAATATGCAATCATGTAAATATATTGACAGTATGTAAGATCATAATATAATTAGAGGTGTCATAAACACAACCCTGCCATGAGCGATATGTGATCTACATGTAACGCGTTGATATCGTTTATACGTATGGTGGTATGCGCAGGCGCACCCATGCAGACATGCCTGCTCTGCACGTGTTCCAAATCGACCGTGTTAAAAACTACAAATAAGTATAATATATAACTACAAATAAGTATAGTGTGACTGTTTAATCTATTTTGAGCTAGGTTGTATACTTATTATTATGCTTGTGGAATAAGTTTCATTATACTTCAACAGTTTTATATTATATTTTTAGGAAATTTGGCCTGCTATTGCTGCTGCTACAAAATCGATAAGTTCACTGCCTCTTCCTAATTTCTCCAAATTCTTTATAACAATAATTGGTCTCTTTCAAAACATATTTATTTCGATTACGATGTAAAGATAAATAGTTTACCAATTTATTTCACCAATTTATATTGTGCTGAAAAAACACACGCCGAAGTCATTATAAGTATCGTCTAAGTATATCAATATATTCATACCAAATTAGTGATATTCCAATAAGTGAACAAAAACAATTGCAAGCTTTATATATGAATGAGTTAAAAAAAATCAAACGGTTTTATTGCGTATATATTTTTTTAAATAATACATTTTCAAGCATTTCCGATCCTTTGCAGGTTAACAGAAGTCTAGTGAACACGGAACCATTTGAAAGTCGTTTTGTAAATGAGTATTACGCGTAAAAATATAAGATACAAATATTTATAGTTCGAATGCGTTACGCTACACATGTCAAAGGTTATAAAAGGTTGTATTAAAGTCGTTAAGAACGAACGCTTTAACGGCTTGCATTAATCTATGCGTACAGACAAACGTTACGCAAAGCAAAAGGTCAAACTTTTATTAAGCTGAGCCCTGCAAGTGTCAACCGGCAATTTAAAACAACTGTTGTTATTTAAATACTGACATTTTCATTAGTTTCGTCATCTGCCTATTGAATGAATAGACCTTCGGTGTTTTATACAATTTCGATGCTTTCCCAGTTTCGCACCGCAGTAATTTCGTGGTCGCACTGACCAAATAAATTTCATAACAATACGACCACTTTTTTTTCAAAAGACAACCCAAGCAATTATTCTCAATTCATTCTCTACATCACAAAGAAAGGTTGCTTATTATAAAGTTGCGTTAATATTTATTTAGTTGCCTTTTATTGCAGGAAATGTGATTTGTAATAAACAAATTCAATTACATAACCCCGTAGACTCAAGGTTATCACGAGATGTGTTGTAGTCCCTGTTCAATAAATGAGATAGTGATTTAGTACATCCAGTTAAACTTGTCGAGTTTTTGTCCATAGGGCAGTGTCACCATACTTGACAAGTGTACCTATGCTCGTACGCAACGTCGTTGGGTAACCACTTAATAAATTGGTCTTCAACTGTCAATTTGATTCGCACTTGTCCGCGAACGAGTTTTTATTATATCTGTAGGTCGAGTTGGGCAATCCCATGATTATTTTGTGAACCATCAACCGGGATTCATTTAAAATTGTGGCGTGTCGATTTCAAAGAGATACTGGTGTATCATCGCTCATTATGCATAGGATTAGAAAAAAATAACTATTTATTGATATCCTATGAGTTATCTTAACGTATTATAAAACATTGTTTCTGTCTTTAAAAACGATAAACTCTCATTAGTTATACTTGAAAATATGCTTAATGAAAAATGTTCAAAAATCCACTTTATACCTGGTACTCTGAGATGGGATTCGAATCTACGACAAAATAGATGGGACAGAACTCAATGAAAAATTACTGAACGACCTTTGTGATTGATTGGTAAAACATTGCCTATAATTCACAAATTAGGAATTATAAATAATAGCCTCTCTCATATATACTCTCTCACATATACTGTATAAATCTCCAATTGATTGGCCAATATATAAAACTTATAAAACAGGCAAAGTTACTACAACTAGCCAATCCCAAGACTAGGGACCTCAGAGATGACGACATTTTGGAATTGGAAATCATCAGATCATACGCCAATTCGAATATAATACAGATTATAGGTTTTGTTTAAACATGAAATTTATACATTTGAATTAATTTAATGTAATAAATTACTAGATTAGTAATGTTTACATTTATCTTCACGAACTTATTACGCGCACGCGACACACTATAGGAAATCATTTAATTTTAAATTTGTGTAACAACTTTGACAATAGCCTTTGTCTGGTAGCCTATGCGAAATTTCCGTGA